TCTCCCGGGTCAAGCTTTTCGGCTCCAAGAAGAGGCGGCGAAGGAAACCAGGTGAGGAGGCGCCTGGACCCAGCCCGGGGTAAGGGGGGGGGGGGTGCTGAGAGGCGGTGTGGAGGCTGCTGGTGGCTCCGGTCTTCTCCTTCCTTCCTTCCAAGCTTTGGCCAGGGGGCTCAAGTAGGTAGTGCTGCAGTCAAACATTGGGATGACTTCTCCTGACTGCGTTTTTATGGGGGTGCCTTGAGCTTTGGGGAAGTGTGGATTCATGCCAAGAAAGCCACCTGCTTATCTTGAGGGGAAGCAACTCCCCTCCCTCTGGGGGTCTTAAGAACCCAGTTCTTGGAGAAAGCTGGGCCAGCGGTCCCTTGGCTCTTCGGTCTTCCTTTCAGTGAATGAGGCAAAGATAGCAATAGCAACACCTCTTAGACTTATATACCAGTTCACAGTGCTTTCCAGCCCTCTCTCAGCGGTTTACAGAGTCATCATCTTGACCCCCAACCATGGGGTCCTCATTTGACCCATCTCGGAAGGACAGAAGGCTGAGTCAACTTTGAGCCGGTCAGGATCAAACTGCTGGCAGTGGGCAGAGTTAGCAATAGCACTTAGACTTATATACCGCTTTACAGTGCTTCACAGCCCTCTCAAAGCAGTTGACAGAGTCAATCTCTTTGCCCCCTCCCAAACAATTTGGGTCCACATCTTACCCACCTTGGAAGGACAGAAGGCTGAGTCAACCTTCAGCCTGGTGAGATTTGAACTGCTAAATTGGGTAGATACAGTCTATCCTGAGCTGCAGGAACAAGAGAGGAGGTGGGACCTTCAGTGGTATCTCCAGATCACCTCTCAGATGGAGAACCCAGAGGCTGAAGAAGATTGGAGTCAACATGAACGCTTACGTGTTGCAGAAGAAATGCGTTCTACAATCCAAATCGTAGGGGACCTCTTCGAGGTCTCCTCCTTTGAGTGCAGAGTCTTGGGCTACATGAAACATTTGTTGGACTCAGAGAGGAGGATGGTTCCTTGATGTTTTGGTCTCTTCTCTCATTCAAACATGAGCCAAATTGGGAAGGATGCCTTCTGGACCAGCTGTCTGGACCATTGGCTGGCTATAGGAGCTGTAGTCCAATTTATCTTGGCTGGGGAGATGGTGAAACTATTCCAATTCTCCTTCTTCAGGTCCAAAAGTGCAAAAGATTGGACACAGGTCATACCTGTGTGTCACAGGTCATACTGTGTCTTCTTTCTCAATGGTCTTCCTTTCCCAAAATCAAGGTGAGCCATCTTTGTAAGCTACAGTTGCGATGTTGGATGGAACTGAGCAGGTGATAGTCCCGTAGCCATACAATGGTGGATCTCTAAAGAGATCCCTTGGTGAGATCTCTTGCGGAAATTATAGGAAGCCCAATGGCTGGTTTATATCATGGGACCATCATAAGAAATGGGGAGGGGGAGAGAGAAGGACAAGGCTTCAGAGAAGACCCAAAGATGGGGAAGCTCATCCCAGATTCATGGATGAGATGATCCATGGAACTTGTGTTCAGAAACGAGGAACTTTGTGTGCAGAACACAAGAAACACACAACCAGGAGGTGACTCTCAGTGTTATATCTCACAGGTGAGCTTTGCCTTAACAGGAGGGAATAACACTATGTTTCACTGTGGTGTTATTTGTGTGATGGTTTTGCAACCCACATGATATAATAGTGCCTTGTACTGGGTGCCTAGTTTGGCACTGTCGTTGACTTCCTATACGTCAAATTTTCACAAAATGCCAGACTTATAGCGACATTGACAAAGGTCCAGGGCGAAAAAATGACAGTCAGGTTTGCTCTTCTTTGCTGTTCAGAATTCAGCAAGAAAATTAGGGAGGTATTTTTTTATGTGCCTCGCATGTCAAACATGCTCAGGACTTAAAAACCAGCGGACAAGTAGAAGGGGAAGAACTTTGACCCCTTCGTTTGGTGGTTTTTATATGGTTTTTTGGTTTTTTTAAAAAGAAAGCTATAATCCTTTTTCTATTCCCAAACCATCTTCTTCCCTCTTCTGCTGCTCACAAAGTAATTTCATTTTGGGGGATGGAAGGGAGAGGAAGCTTCTAAAAAGAAAAAAAAATAACAAAAAGGACTCCTGGCTTTTATATTTTGAGGGGGGAACGATGGGATTTACCGAAGAAATCCTCAAATTTTGCAGAAGAACGGCGAGGTCTCCATCACCCAACCCTATTGCATGATTAAAATATAAAAGCAAGGGGGGGCAGGTTTGCTGTGAAAGCATCTGTAAATCAGCCTTTTTTTTTAATTTCCTTCTAAAGGAGGAGCAACCCAATGCAAACATTTCTGAAATCTCCCCTCGGGGAAAAAAAAACATCTGAAAAAATGAGGTGGCTTTTGCATATTCAAATGACTTGCATGTTCCGGATTTGTCACAAATAAACAAAACCCTGCGATGGGTTGATTTGATTGATTGGTATGCAATCCTACCTGGATAACACACCGAAAAGATTTGCCCCTCACTGTCCCTAAGCGACCTGCAAACAAGAGCATTTTGTACGCGTGCTTACAAATAAATACATGAGCTGGGCTTGCCAAGGGATTTGGAAAAGAGAAAATGGGTACAAGGAACAGAAATCTGGCTTCCTTGAGGTCTGAGACCCCTACCCCCCACCCCACCCCAAAAAATGAGCCTGGTTGCACAGAAGAGCCCCTTCTAGATGGATGGAAACTACAGGCTGTTTTAATTGTTACGCAGCAACGAAATTTGCTATCCAGGGAACAGTCACAGCTGCCCTCTGAGGAGAACAGCTAATGTAACCAAAGTGTATTCAAAACCCTGTTTGCCACTGGCTGAGGGAAACACAACTTTTTTTAACTTTCCTGTGAAACAGCCTTACTTGGAACGGTAGACCTAACTCCAGGTGAAGGACCAGGTTGGTTATCTCAAAGGTGGTTTTCCTCCACACACACACACACCCAAACTGGATTTTCTTTCTTTGAAGACGTTTAGTTTCTCATCCAAGGAGCTTCTTCAGTTCTAAATCAACTGGGAGCCGGGGTGGAATGGAAGGGTTTATATTCTGCAAACAGGATTGCAAAGAATATAAATCTTTTCATTCCCCGCCAGTCAGCTAGAATGGAAGAAGATTCTGGGGTGAGAAGCAAAATGTTTTCAAAGGAAAACAAACTGAGAAAGCCTAGTTGTTGGTTTTTTTGGAAAAAGCGGTTTTGGGACAATCATGACTTGAATGACGGAGAATCTCTGTAGACAACCAGATTGGCTGTCAATTCACTTGTCATTTTAAGTGGATTGTGATAAAAGAGATGCGATATACTTACACCCCGGCATGTATTTTATTGCCCTGCTGCTCCTGTGACACAACTTTTAGGAGTCTTGGCAGGGTGAGGGTCTTTTATGGTTTCCAGAAGCTCTTTGTAATTGAGGGACCCACACTCTATATCTCTATCATAGATAGATATGCCTTAACTTGTCCTCTTCCTTAAATGTTTAGTTAAAGGGAGTTGTGCTCTGGAGTGGAAATCAGATTAACAGGATCTCTTGGTCAGCGTGCAGTGTTTACAAAGCAGGTTGTGTCTATTCAGAGCTTGGTTAGGTGATATGGGAAAACATTAATTTCAGGGGTTTGAGAATAGAACCCACATTTCCTGTCAACTGAAGTTGACTTGTTCTTTCCTAACTGGGCTTGAGTTTTGATCTAAGACAGATTCCCCGCCATGCTCATGTCAAACAAACTAGGTTGCATGTCATCGCAGTATTTTCTGGAAGGAGATTTCCTTTGATGTTTTTACATGAGGCTGAGTTTAAATTTTGGATTTCGGCCCTCCGAGGTCTTTGGGGGGTATTTCTATGGATTGGATTCAGTGAGAATCTCTCTTTAACTTCAGATGCTTGTTCCAGCAGGATTAACAACCATGGTGGTGTATGAAGAGGTTTTGTGACTGTGCCATTAAGTGGTTTCCATCTTAAAAGGGCCGTGCAAATATTGGAGCAGGGATGAATTTCCCCAGCTTGGGGAAGGTTGAAACTCTTGAGTTGAATGTGCTCAACAGCCAAAAAATATTTAAAAGATTAGCATGTTTCCTGACCAATAGTAACAATTATATTTTTGTGGACAATCCTAAAATTTGTATTCTTTGAAACCGCGACCCTGGAGTTTTTGGACATGACCAATCTCACTAAAGTCACGGTGGTTCTTAAGATTTTATCGCTCAGGCTATAATTAGCAGGGTTCACAGTTACTCTGTAAACAAAGGTTATTAACCCAAGTGGTTAGATTCATACAATGGTCTATGCCTCAGACAAACCCCTATCTGTGCTATTGCCTATTCACAGGCTGGTAGGCCATATGTGATCAACTAGCCACCATTTTAGCAACCCTGTTCCTCTCTAAAAGAAGGTCAGATCGTTAAAAATAATTAAGTTCCTTCTAGCTGGTGCCTTTCTAATCTTAACAGAAATCTAGTCTTTGCTCCTTCGGCCATGTAATATGTTGGAATTTTGATCCTCTATGAAGTTTTTCAGGATTTAATAGCATCCACAGAGCTTTATAGCCTGCAGAGCAGTTGCTGTCCAAGGTGCTGATTTAATCTCTCTCTCTCTCTCTCTCTCTCTCTCTCTCTCTCTCTCCCTCCCTCCCTCCCTCCCTCCCTCCCTCCCTCCCTCTCTTTCTCTCTCTCTCTCTCACACACACACAGAAACATTTATCTCTATATCTATCTATCTATCCATCTATCTATCTTGTCCATTTATCTATCTGCCTGTCCTTCCTTCCTTCCCTGTCTATCTTTCTTTCTGTCTGCCTATCTGCCTGCCTGCCTGTCTATCTATCTACCCTCTACTTCAACTCATAGGAAAGTTTCTAATCCTGTTTTTTTCTTCTTGGGGGAAAAAATCCCCGAGGCAAAGCTTTTGACCTGCTTGAACCCGACATGGATACAACAACGGATTCAGGTTTCTAACATCTCCTGCTTGTTTGTTTTGCTTTGACAGAACCACAGCTGAAAGGCATCGTCACAAAACTTTACAGCCGGCAAGGATATCATTTGCAGATGCAAGCAGATGGAACCATTGATGGAACGAAAGAGGAAGAAAGCACATACAGTGAGTATATTGTTAGGCATAAAAGAGCCCGTTGGTTTGTTTGCACAATCTGCTAGTAGCCCATATGCATGGATGTTTTTCCAAAGGCCAGGCTCATTTGGAAGTGATGTCATTGCTGCGTTCATGTTTGCTGTTCAACCTGCTAAAGGAGAGAAACACTTAGGCACTAGATAAACCTACAGAGGTACTTCTTCTTTCCGCAAAACCGGCCCGAACATCCTCTCCACGGATATCTAGGGATGAATTCGCCATCAGTTTATTTGGGGTTGGGTTTTTAATGATCCGATCAGGAAACGTTCCTTTCCCGTTCCATTTTTTACCTGACTTAAAACCATACCGCTCTTGTCAGAATAAGGAGAATTAAATGCTTCCCCTTCTGTAGTGATGGTTGGTAGCAATTAATCGTGGTGGACATTTTGTTTCCATAAATCTTGAGGTTCCGTTCCATTTGTCTCCCTTTCCCTTTCTGCTGTGTTACGGTGTGCGACGGAGCATTAGCATATTTCAGTAAATAGGACGTGTATGAATTGGGAGAGAAATAACCTTTTGAGTGTGGTGGTGCACAGATTAGGAAACTATTTCAACTCTTCCCTTCCGATACAAACCTTCATTTATGGTTTCCAAAAAAAGGAGCTTATCATTCTCGCCCCAAGTAATACATTGGTCTTGAAATAGAATGGTCTGCTTCCCGGGTTCTAAAATTCAGAACAGAGATAAGGGCCATTTCTTCTGCAAAAAAAAACAACACCCACATTTCAAATCTTTTTGTTGTTGCTGTTGTTGCTCTTCTCTTCTCCAGTAAATTCCATGACAGTGGAATTTCAAAGAGACCCAAGAGAAGTCACATCTGTATTCCCCAACCAAGATTAGGAGGACATCTGCAGCTTTTATTAGGTGGTTGCATGTTTCCACTGAAGTAAACAGCAGCCAAATTTGCATGGGGTTAGGCAAATGCCTTCTCTGCTATCTTTAAGGATTTTCAGAGGATTTGGTGACAGAGAATGGCTGATTCAATGCTGAAGTCCCATCTTTAGTTCCTACTCCTGTGCAAGGGATGAGGAAACATCTCCATCTGAAAGGTTGAAGAGCTACTGCTGTCAAAGAGCAACCTGGAATCTCACATCTGCCCACACTCCATCCATGCACCTATCCATCCCTCTCTCCATTGATCCATCCATCTGTCCATCCGTCGGTCCTTTTATAGATCAAGAGACCAAAGTTTGTGGAATGATTTCCAAACAACCTGAAGCAGGAAATACACAGCAAATGGAACCAAAGTCTTAAAATAGAATAGAATTCTGTTATTGGCCAAGTGCGATTGGACACACAAGGAATTTTCTTTGGTGCATATGCTCTCAGTGTTCATAAAAATACATTCATCAAGAATCATAAGATACAACACTTAGTGAAAAGTTACTAATCAAAGGTTTAGTCAAAGGCTACTAATAAGCAATCAAATCATAATAGGAAGCTAAATAAAACAATATAAATTGCAAAGATACAAGCAACATGGTTATACGTTGGAAGAGATAGGTAATAGCAAGGATGAGAAGAAGAACAGTAATACAGTCTTACTAAATAGTTATGGGAATTAGTTGTTTAGTAGAGTGATCGCATTTGGGGAAAAAAACTGTCCTTGTGTCTAGTTGTTCTGGTGTATAGGGTTGAAAACAATTTTAAAAGCCTACCCCCCCAAAAAAGTTTTTGAATACCTGCAAAAAATCTTGGAGAAATGCAAAAAAATCTAGTCTCAGTCTGTGCATTTGATCTGACCTCTTGTATATGCCCAATCAATGCAACTTTGCTATCTCCTACATCAAAGTTTGTCCAACCTACGCATTGACAGTGCTGTTGGATGGGAAGCCATAACCCCATAAAACACGACTTCAACCGTTCCTAATTCTGGCTACTCTATTTTGGCATTGGAGGAATTTCTGCTGAAAATTCTTGGACTTTTATCTACAGCTTCTCTGGAAAGTTTGACAGCAACTTATGCACTTTGGCAACTGCTAAATAATATGTCTTGATGTTAACATGAGCTTTTACCAGCCAACATCGCTTCCCCTGCCATGAGTATGAAATATTGCTGAAACGTTTTGCAGGGTTGCAAGGAATTTTGGAGGGTGAAGCTGTTGGTTTGGATGGCTGCATGATGCCTGGGGTTGAACTCACCGAATCAGTTGATTTCTGCTGAAAGGAGCATCCTTTAAGATATATCCTGTGGAACATTTGCATTAAGGAACCTTTCTGTGTTGGCTTAGGCGACCCTATTTTTGATGTAAGAAAAATGGGAAGGATTGACCCTTCTCTTCTAGTCTATGGAGATCCAATCTCTCAATTAATTCATCTAGATGGATCTCCATAGAGTGGAAGAGAATGGGAACTTGTTAACGTGGATTCTAACATTGTTTGGGTGACTTCAGCCTCTCTTCCCTGCTGGTAGCTTGGGGTTGATGGGAATTAAAAAATAAAAATAATAAAATAAATAACCTCCCATCGTGGTGACACTCATCATCATTGTCTTTTAATGACCCCGTAATCCCTTGAGGGGTGGAGCATGGGCAACTGAATGGAGTTAGCAGGCTGTTTAATGGCCGGATGCCCTTCCTGTTACCAATGAGGAGGGGGTTTTTTGGCAGATATACACTCATCGTGCCCAGAGAGAGAAATAGCTGCCTCTATCTAGGATTGAACTCACAACCTCCTGATTGCGAGGCGAGAGGTCCACCTCTAGGCCACTGCACCTGACAACACACACACTCATACCAGGCATTCAATGGGCTCCATCCCACTCTGGGTTCCCCAGGGCCGCCGGCAGAACCACGTCTTCAGGGCCTTCCAAAAGAGCGAAGGCCAGCCTAATTTCCAGAGGAATAATGTTCAAGAGGGATGGAGGAAGCCCTTCTTCTGGGTCCCACCAGATGTATCTCCTTAGGAGATAGGACCCACAACATTCCTGGCCTCATTGCTCTACCAGGTTGGGTCGATGTGACCGGCAAGAGACGGTCCCTCAGATAATAAGATGGAAGACTCTCTGCTATAAACCATTTTTAAAGGAGAATATTTGTAGCTCAGGGTTGAAGTGAGGGGCCCTTGGTGCTCTCCGGGTTTGCTTGTTTTCTTGCAGACGTTTCATGACCCAACTAGGTAACATCATCAGTTCTACGTCGTAAGGAGTGCTGTTCATTGTCAGTTACTGACAGCAAACTGCACTTTTTACTAGAACTGATGACGTTACATAGTTTGGGTCATGAAACGTCTGCAAGAAAAAAAGCAAACTCGGAGAGCACCAAGGACCCCTCATAAACCTTCTTTCTGGTCTCTTGGGCGCTTTGGCTGAGGACCCTGGGAGTTGTAGTCCAACCTATCCTGGAAGCCTGCCAATGAGTTAGGAAATGCAAGACTTATTCCATGGTCAACTTGATCCAGAAAGATTCCCAAGGAAATTCTTTGCTTATGGATGTCAGTTTTGGTTTTTGGTTTTAAAAAAAGAGTGTGTGAATTTTGCACGCATGCCCCCAAATATTATTTTTCTTCCCTTTGCACTGGCGTAACAAAATCTGGTTTTGTTTCCACAATTCAGACTGAGGGACTAACTTTTTTTTCCCCTTTTTCTCCTAGCTTTGTTTAACCTCATACCGGTGGGTTTACGAGTGGTGGCTATACAAGGCGTTCAGACGAAGCTGTATTTAGCGATGAACAGTGAAGGCTACTTATATACATCAGTAAGTGTCTGTTTTGTGTTGTTGTTTTTTGATGGGTTGATCTGCTTTGCTTTGGACCCCCGAAAGAATATGGGTAGTCCTTGACTTACGACAATCGAGCCCAATGTGTCTGTTGCTAAGTAAGACGTTTGTTAAGTGAGTTTTGCCCCCATTTTAGGACCGTTCTTGCCATTGGCATTAAGTGAATCTGTGATGACCTGGGGCGTGGCACAAAGGCAACACAGTCAGATAATCCCTAGGAGTCCCTTTATTAGCTCCAACTTTTCCCCCAATGTCCTGGTTACCTTCTGGCTGGAGAAAAACTCTCCCAGGAACAGCCTTTGGCTGCAGAGAGTCAAGTCCAAAACATGGTCAACAAAAACTGTAACTATAAGTCCAATCAAGGCAAAATGAGGTAATTAGTCCAGCAGGGCAGGAGAAGGAATTCCAGATGTGAAGGAACGGCAGTAATTCAACCCAGTTGGGAGGCTGCCAGGAACGCAGATAACCAAAGTCACACAAGATAAACTCATGTTTGTTCCCAGCAGACGCTGCACTCAGCATGCATCTCTTTTAAACTCTCTTCCCAGCTGCAGCTAATGAAGGGAATCAGGGCCCTTTCCTCCCCCATAAGCCCTGCAACCTATGTTGCTCCCTTCTCTGTTCCTCCCTGCGTGCCCTAGGATCAAGAGGGGGTGGGCCTGGGTCTTCGTCTGAATTCCCTCTCCCATGTTCTACCTCTCCCCTCCTCTGCCCAGCTGGACTTTGCCCTTCCCCAGTTTCCTCCACAGCCAACGGAACCACCCTCCCACTCCCTGTCAGCTGTTCGTCTTCCTCCTTGGATTCAGACTCCGACAGGGGGAGGACAGAATCACTGCAGTTGTTAAGTCAGTAAGACGGTTGTTAAGGGAATCTGGCTTCCCAAATTTGATTTTGCTGGTCAGAGGGTTGCAAAAGGGAATCGCGTGAACTCCCGGGGACACAGCAAACGTCATAAATATGAGTTGGTCTGAATGTTCATTACGTGGCCCGTGGGGCTCTTGCAATGGTCCTAAGTGTGAGAAAAGGGATTATAGGGCACTTTGCTGTTGTAACTGTGGGTAGTCACTAAAGAAGTAAACGTAAATTGTAGGAATTGGACAGCCATTTGACCAGGACGGTATAAGCTATATGGTGTCTTGCTTTGAGCAGGGGGTTGCTAGAAGACCTCCAAGCTCCCCTTCCAGCCCTCGGGTGATATGTTCTCCATTCTAGATCTCATGTTTCTTTTAGAAGGTTTAGAGCCTCTAAATCTTAGTTTATTCAAGTAAATTTATCTGGGGTGTGCAAAAGACTCTTGAATTAATGCTGAATTCTTGCCCATGAGGTCAACTTTCCTGCTCACTTGGGGTGAACTGCGGCAATTTAAAAGTAACTAAGCAGGAAAATGTCCTAATATTATTTCCACTTTTTTTATGGCTGCGAGTTATGACTACAATAAGCCTCTGCCATGGGGAGAAGAAGGTGCGTGAGATATTAAAGAGATTTGTCTGATAGGGCTCTTGACAGGCTCCATCCAGGCTGGCAATAAGTAGATTCGTGGTTTGCTTCTGATCCGATAGTCCGAGGATATTTTGTGTCACATTTGATCTTGGGATCTTTCTTCTTACGTGTTTAATAAAGAACATTCAATCATCTTTAGTTGATGGTGGAGGAAAAGAGAGGGAGGGAGGGAGGGAGGAAAAGAGAGGGAGACAGAAATAAAAGAAAGAAAGAAATGAAGCAAGAAAGAGGGAGGGGGAAGGAAGGAAGGGAAAAGGGAGGGAGGGAGGGAGAAAGGAAGGAAGAGAAAGAAAGAAAGAAAGAAAGAAAGAAAGAAAGAAAGAAAGAAAGAAAGAAAGAAAGA